TAGACTGTATGAAGTAAAAATAGTCTAAAAATTAAATGATTATAATAATCATATACCATTAGCCTTGAGCACTTGTTAAGTCTATAAAATATTGTATTTATTTATTTTAATCGACCTATATAAGTAATTTTCACTATTAAATCTCTCAAATACTTTAATGTATAATAAAGTATGTGCTCAATCCCATGAAAAATGTATGTCTGAAGTGTTTGATTAAAACCAGTACGTCTTGTTGATTGTTTTTCATCCAGTTCCTTCATTGAATGTCACTTCACCTAATCAAACTTAGTGTAGCCTTTCATTTTAACGTCAATTAAATCGAACGATGATGTTTTCAACAAGCTCACCATTTTAGTGGCCCTGACTCCATTTGAATTGTATGAGTGATTGTTATTGATATGTACATGTGAACGAATCCTCGCGTAAAATCATCGACTTAACTCGCGTTAGTGAATAATGGAATTAAATGATTCAAATACGAGAATGAGGTTTGAACACATGTATTTCGTACACTCATTGGTCTGGACAGACAATCAGGAAAACGCAGCGAAGGCAACGAACAGAAGTCGATAGAGACAACGCAATTTAATCAAGCGTGAATCGATATTTGTAGTTAGACTTTAAAGAAATTACAGACATATGATGAATAGGGTAAGCGATTAACACACATATGATCATGTAAAAAGCAATCAGGATTGATAAGCGAATAAGTGACATGGTAAAAATGTAGCTTGAGAAGAATGAATAGATTGGTCTATCTAGGAGCTAGAATAGCCTATGTGAACTTGATAGAGTACCAGCTCCTACAAACTATACCATATGAACAAAAAAGTGCAAATTTGAGTTTGAAAATATTTGGTTTTACATTTTAATTTCACTTATTGATGAAATAATTATCCAGCAAATTAATTCATCAAGTGATATTGAATTGTTTGATGTAGCAAGTGGAAATTCCTAAATTTAATTAGTAATTCACGATCCCAAAATTCAAGGGAATCACTACTATATATCATATTCCAAATTCAGTCCTTATAACTCTAACTAAATACATTAAGTAATCATGGTGCGAGTAGAATTTATGGACGACCTCTGAGCGACGTTAAAGTAACCTTGAGAGTGTCCCCTTTAGTAACTAAAACCAAACGAGGGTTATAAACCAGTGTGAGGAATTAGAATTGTGATTTACTGTCGATGGTTAAGGTTAAGAATTACATTGAGGGTTTTCATCACCAGCTTACATAAGCTATAATGCCAAAATTCTATTTAACCAAATAGATGAGTGAATTTCGCACCAAAATCTGAGATCTATTATCTTATGCCTGATTGGTTCGCCCATAAATTATAGTTTCGCCGTAATCATTAAATAATTAAACTAATCTATAATGTCATTGAATACAAAATAAAAGGAATTCAGGGAAGAAAACTTTCTCTTTTTAAGGAAATCATTAAAAAGAAAACTGTTGTCTCCACAAATTGATATAAACATGTATAGTTTACAACTTGTAGTCAATTAAGAATATTTTATTGCTGACAATTCAGATTCCAGTTTACTTCGATTGATTTTTTGTTTAGTATTAAAATTGTTTGCCAAATAGTATATCATATTATAATTGTATCTTAATTGGTGATTAATGTATAAACGTTCAATTCTATCACAGACTTTTTTTTAAATATGTCACTGAACAAAAAGAGTACACATTATCAATCGTTGAAACTCAACATTCAAAACATGTCGATAAATTAATGAAATCAATGACAATTTGTCAACCGTTTGAAAAATGAAATCTGATTTCTGATAATAATGACATTTGATAACACATTGATGACTGTTTTATAAAGATCATAACCATAGTAACTATATACATTTTAATATTCACAGTGGGAGAACATAATTCTAAGTGTATCATTAATATCCTGTCATAAGTAGGAAAACCATTTTCAAACCGATTACTTTTAGTTCAGTAAAGATTGAATTTTTTAATCGGTATTTCTTAATTAGCATGCAACAATGGAATCACACTTGATGGAGAAGATTTGGAAGATGTAAAAACCGTTACATATCTGGGCAGCATCATTGATGAACACGGTGGATCTGATACAGATGTAAAGGTGCAGATCGGCAAAGCAAGAGTAGTATATTTACAACTGAAGGACATCTGAAACTCAAAACAACTGTCAACCAACACCAAGGTCAGAATCTTTAATATGAATGTCAAGACAGTTCTACTGTATGGGGTGGAAACGTGGAGCACCATGAAAGCCGTCACCCACAATATACAAGTGTTTATTAACAGTTGTCTACGCAAAATACTTCGAATCCATTGGCTAGACACCATCAGCAACAACCTACTGTGATAGAGAACGAACCCAATCTCAGCGGAGGAAGAAATCAGGAAGAAACACTGAAAGTGGATAGGAAACACATTGAGGAAAGCACCCAACTGCGTCACAAGGCAAGCCCTCACATGGAATACTCAAGGCCAGAGGAGGAGAGGAAGACCGAAGAACACATTACGCCGAGAAATGGAGACAGATATGAGAAGAATGAACAAAAATTGGATAGAACTGGAAAGGAAGGCCAAGGACAGAGTGGGTTTTAGAATGCTGGTCAGTGGGCTATGCTCCATTAGGAATAACAGGCGTAAGTAAATGGTGTAAAATTTATCAGATACCATCCATTTAGGATGAGAAAAGAATAGCAAAAATAACTGTAATGACAATATTTTTGACAAGCCAGCTGGCAAGCGGATGGTTGTCATTTAAAGAAACAATTTGTATTTTAGCTATAATTTCATGGAAGATTTAACAAACAATTCATATTACCATATTGCATTATATTTTATGGTTGAGCTATCAAATGGAATGGGATTACCGTTCTTAAAGAATGATACATTTTCTCCTCTTAAAGTTATTAAACTAATTATTTGGAATGATAGAATCAATAATACAACTTGTGAACTAATCTACGAAACTTTCTGATTAAAGATTTTGAAATTCAATCGTTTTAAATTATCATTTCAATTTATTCGCTTCCAATCAAAGCGAAATTGTAATCAGGCTGATATAAGTATTTTATAGAGTGAAAAATGGCCAGAATTTATCACCCAGCATTTAGGCATATTATTAACATTTTCTCTTACTTAACATATTTTGGATAAGATAAGAGTGAATTATCATCAATCGTAAAGCAAACCCTACAAATACACATATGTAGAATTGATTTTTATCTATATAAAGGAACCTAGAAGTTTTTGTTGATGATTCGATTCAGGATTATATTCGGTATCCAGTTCATGTATAATAGGTGGGAATATTCATTATCGTCGATAACTAATATCAACAAAAGATAATATTATGTCATTATTTTATTAACAATGTATTCGTGAATCATTCATACATTTTTCTTCAATCTCATAATTAAGAAAGTAATTTAAGACCTAATTGTTTTATTTTATTAGGATTGTGAGTAAAAGTGAAATCCAGCACCCACCTTACAGTTTATATAGGGCCCTTCATATGTATGTACCTGCATCCTAGTATTTATATTTACTGTCGTCCAGTTACGGTGTAATTGTAATTTATTTTAAAAAAGAATCCATCCATTCAATGTTGAAATTTAAATATCCTTCGCAAAACAATACAGTATAGTTAATTTTGGGATGGTAGAGAAGATCTGTAGCTCAGATGGATGATTTATGTAGAGTTTGTTTTATGAGCTGGATGGTTTGGTTGAGGATCTTTGATTATATTTCTAAACGATATAATTAGCACAAACTTCTTGTAGAACGTTGACTTTCGTGTTGATGATGTTGTTCAGAAGAACAATCAAAGATCCACAACCAAACCATCCATCTCAAAGAACAAAACTCCACCTCAATTATATTTATTAAATAGACACGTTAACAAAACGAGCTTTATGCGGACTGGTTTAATTTGTATGGGGTATTTTTTACAAATATCCCTAACTTCTAGTAAGAAGTTTACACCAGTTGTTTTTAAACACGTCTGAAATGAAACAGCCATTGAAATTGACATTAGGTGAACGTTGCACTATATCACCTGAAAATATATACCACTGGATCCTAGGCTGTCAGTTTCACAGTTAGGTGCTCGCTGATAGGGATTCCGATTTATGGAATAGTCATGACTAAACACCATCGATGGAATCCCAAACTGGGAGAAAACAAAAACATTAGTTACTTAATCAACATTTGAATCAATAAGCGAGTTTCACCAGTTCTTTTTATAAACCAATTCATTATTAATGAATATTTTTACTTCATGTGGATTACTTAAATTTCGTCGACGGTTATAAAGCGAATTGCAAGTAAATCATTTACTATGTTTAAATAATGGTATAATATAATGATGGAATCAGCCGTTCTTTGTTTATTCTCCACTTTAATATTATTATAAAAACGATATAACCCCAATATTCAGATTCGACTACATGGACTACTAATAATTTGTTGATGTGAAGAAATTTCAGTCTGGTGAAAGAGCATTTATGAGAATTTAACTCTTATTATAACATTTTTTAATACTTTGATTGATAAAAATCAAATGCTTAATAAGAATAAACCATTTTACGGTTCATTTTATAAATATGTCAATATTACTCGTATACTTGAATAACTAATTCATGTCTAATGCACAACGCGATGGTGGAGTTTTGTTCTCTGAGCTGGATGGTTTGGTAGACTTCTATCTGAAGTTTGTGCTGATGATGTCGTTCAGAAGAACGACTAAACCATCCAGCTCAGAGAACAAAACTCCATCACTATCAGAGATTATTGCAACGATCCATTGTAATCAACGAATATTCATTTTTCATAGTGATTTTTCTGGTTAGCTTTTTTATAACAAGGTTCTTATTTGTTACGGGATGAATTCGCTTATCCCATCTTCAAACCCCACACTTTTGCTCAAGTTTGGGATCTCTGTGTAACTGATCATAACTTATATATCTTTAAAAAAAAGAATTATATTTAGTAACTTACGATTTATTGGACGGTAGTCTTATCAGATTATTACTGCTAATATTATCTTCTGTAGACAATTCATCTATTGAATAATCACTCATTATTGTTTGTTAATGATAATTATTTTCAAGTAAATTCATCCAATTAATTCATATCAATGTTATAAGAACATTTCGATTTCATTGCGCCATGATAAGGTAATGGAAGTGTTTTTAATTATCTTGAAAATGGTATTATTTCTGCACAGATTATAGAAAATAATTTGAACTGCATCAGTTGTCTAACATTTCAAGACAGATAGAAAATGTATTAAAATCAATGTCCTCTAGTTAAATTACCAATTTGATAATGATCAATTTCAACCCCTTTTTGTAATATCAAGAAATAAACAAAAATACCCCTTTCATTAATCATTAATCTCTACCATTCATTGCTTTAGTTTGATTGGATAATTTATTTTTCTTTCCCATCAAACAAATGCAAGTGGAAAATGGAATGAACCTATCATAGAGACCATCATTATTACTGACTTTTCACAAAAAAAATAGTTTCTTTTCAGCTTAACTGTAAAATTGTTTTTTTATCTCAAGGGTGGTGTCAATATTGAATAAGCCAATGGGGAAAATAAGTTTAATTTCTTTAACGAAATGGAGTGAAAATAGGAGTTTAGAACAATTATGCGTCTAGAAATTGATACGCCCATAATTTAAAAACTACAATTCAATCAATAAATGAGATGGGAAATTTTTTTATAAATTTAATAATAATTTATCCACGCTGGTTAGCTTTGTGTTTTAGTTAGGATTTATGACCTATGGAGTAAAGCAAGCCAACATTAACATTGAATGAGCCTCGTACTATATGGCACGTAAAAGCATAGATCACTGAATTCTGAGCACATCACACAGTATTATGATCATCATGATAAATAAAGTTTATGAGCTCAATCTTGTATGGAGTTTGTCAGTGTGTATTTGTGGAGAGTATTTAACTAGCACGAAGCAATAACCCAGTTTCGTTCTGCTTTTCTTCAGTTTTTCAGCTTTTTTTTGTGTCTGAAAAATGACCGTCAGAGTCAAAAGTTTATGCCAATGGTGTCGTTCAGAAGAAAGATGAAAGCTCTATGACCAAACCATTCAAATCAGAGAACGAAATTCAAACAAAGTCATCCACCTGAGCCACAAAACTTAACCAACTCAAAGCTGAAAAGTACTATACTTTAATACGAGGCTTATAAGTGTTACATTGTTCGCAATTGAAACGTACTCAGTAATTAAATGCTATGGACTACATGACAGGATTTAAGGAACTGAATCTTACTAAGATATGTGCACTCAACAGTGATACTAACCAAATTCTACCAAACAAGTTTATTACATTGTAACTGTTCTTAGTAGCAAGTAGTGGATAGTGTTTCATTTTTTATTGGTTCTAGATAATTGTTAAAGTGTCATGTTCATAATTTTTGCCCTTGATGACGCTCACCGCAAGGACATATCTATAAAATCACGAAAGGTGAGAAAAAATGTTTCATGGCATTATAATGTACTAGGTACCTACGATCGAAAGTTCTACTTTAGTCATCTCATAATAACAACAAATTGTTTTCCCACTGATGTTGTCTAAGAAAAATTTTAGAAATAGTATTTACAGTTAGATATATTCTGAATAATACGCTACTTGGATTGTTTCTGGACATAAATCATTATCATTGGGATTGTACTGCGATCAAAAACAAAGTACTTATGAATCAAAACTTGTAGAACAATAGCAGTACCAAATAATTTAATGACAATTCAAATCAATTATTACAATATCATTACAGACATATGCTTAATTTAGTTTATATACACAAATTGAAACTAGTCAGATGGGGATAGCTCTTAGTTTTTGTAATAGAGTTTAACTTTGGTAAGTAAACAAGTAACTTAATAGCCTACTAAGACTAAAAGTTATCCTCTTATGAATGACACGATCATGTTCCTTGTGAATAATGTTTAGGTTTATTATTCAATTCACGATTCAGCTGAAGTACACATCAGAACTATCGATGTACACTACACCAACATAGATTCTTTTCATAAAATCGTAAAGCGGAATACCATAGACACAGTAGATAAGTTGTTTGTCGGTAGGATTACTGTTGGTTGTTTCCTGTTACAGATATTTAGAAATGTATGACAGTGTATATACTAAGGCCTATGGATTTTGATTTGTAGAGATGAGTGGATTAATGATTATAAACCTCGTCGTTTTTTATCCCCGAAAACTCCACTAAAAGCGAACTGTACCAAAAATATATTTGGCACTTTCGTGAAATCCCAGTCCGTGTGTTAGTTTTTATACCTAGCCTCATTAAGAATACCTGAATATCTTTTCCAGAAGTCAACAAAATTCCTTAGTTCCTTCTAATCAAATAAATAATCTTTGGTTATGTAGGTACCATAAGCTTGGATATTTGTACGGTGTATTCTGATTCCCAAAAGTCATTTAGTTCATGTCAGATGATGCTACAAACTGAGATGAAACAATACGAAGTCTACAACAAATCAATTAGCCTAACAACTAGTGACTAATGTTAAAATTTATTTCCTCCGTTAATCTGATGGGAAATACCAACTCACCTATATTATTGATGTAGTGCTATGTTAAGCTCACATAACTTATTCCAGCTTCCTGACAAGCCGATATATTCATTCTTCCTGAGCCACGTTTTGACCTTGTTAATTATTCGCTTATCAACCTTGACTGTTTTTATGTAAGCGTATGTGTGCACTTCATATCCTATTCATCACATGTCTATAACTTATTTCTATGCGACTATAAATATCGATTAACGCTTGGTTAAATCGAATTGGCTCATACGCCTTCTCCGCTGCGCATCATTTCGCTCCACTCTCTTCTCTTCGCTCCGTCTCTCTGTCTTTCCAGATCGATGAGCGTACAAAATATACGTATTCAAAAATCCATTCTCATATTTGACTTATTTAATTTCGTTATTCACTAATGCGATTTAATTCGAGGATTATTTGCGAGAATTGGCGATATGTGTATTACGATAGCAACTATTCGATAATAATCATTCGTACGATAAAACTGGATTCAGATATTCCAGGGCCACTAAAATAAAATAAGGATTGTACTATATTACAAATTTACTGAGGTTGAAAATATGGACTGTTGAATTCCAATTCAATGATCTAGGTATATCGTGTTTGTTGTAAATACCTGTAAATATTTATCCTTATCTCATTTTGGGTTTTGTAAAACGTTTAGGAGTTCTTTAAAAATGTGATTAAACATTTATTTAGTACCATTTCGGTTTTTTTATCATCTAATATAACTTTGTTACTGAGATGGTGGAGATTTGTAGCTCAGGTGGGTGATTTTAATGGAGTTTTGTTCTCTGAGCTGGATGGTTTGATCATGTGCATCAGTTATTATTAGGTGTACCATTTTTCTTGCACCTTGCTCAGCTATTCTCCATCTGATGTGAACAGGGAAACAAGAAGCCCCGAAAAACTACGAAAGCTACTTTCCGGGACGTTATTTCATTTTATTCAAAGCTTGTAAAACACTAACACTTATTTTTGTCCCTTATCTATTTTACAGAACATAAGCTTTCGTTAGATGTATGATTCATTGTCATAACGTTTTCTGTTCCAAAGCTATTGTAATTTAAACATAATATTTTGCACCCTATTTTCCACGCAAATTCCCCGCTTTGGACATAAATGTATTTTTCCTAATTGTTGTACTTTTTGGTCGGGTTAGTCACCTATTTATTCATGTACCTTTTTTACATTAATCCGAAGAGGAAGTCAGGATATCAGGAATAGATCGAGTAGTGTTCCAGTTGTTTTGTCTTCACTTATTCGCGTGCTTGTCAGCCAATCAGGTGATGGAATAGTTTTCTTCTCTCTACCCCATTTCGAACTCACGCGTACTAGCCTCAATGTTAGGTCGGTCAGCCTATCGCGCCAAGGTCTTAAACTGGATTAGATAAGTATCCTCAGCACAAAAAGTGGGTAGATAAATCAAGGACACAACACCATCCCTTTGGGTAATTGATTGGAGGTCGATCCCAGAGAACAAACTCCATTAATAACCTTGTTACTTAAATTAATTTCAGAATAACTTATAGTTCTTAATAATAACACTAATTGCTGACGACTTCATCTTAACATGTTTGTATTTAAAAAACGCGGAAATTTTAAGTTACACTCAAATATTTGTTTTATTTAGTATATTAGTAGGAGAAATAGTTGATTGTATAAGGAAACAAGCTATCCATTTATTAATAAATTTAAGTGTAATATTTATATTTACGAGTTGAAGAAGTAATGTGAAATTCAGCCAAGATATACTTTACACTATACTGTTATATGAATGATTTGTGCCTACATTAGTAGTAGTCTGTTGATTTATGCATTTAGGATATATATATAGTAAAACCGGATGTCTACAAGTATCTCTTTAGTGAATAAGGACTCAGGTTTGGGAAACCAATTTATTGTTTAACACAAAATTAAACAGTGGTTTAGTAAAATATAAAAATCATACATTAAATACATTATTTACACATCGTCGTTACGTTATCCTTTACACACTGAATTATTCCTATAATCCTGTTGTTATTTTGATTGCTCTCCAATTTCTTTTCTGTCCCCTACAATTCAATGCTCTGCTGCCAGTTGTTCCACTTCTAATTGCGGCTACACAATACGTATATCTGTCAGCATAAGTAACATACATCACATCCGGATATAAACCGTCTGAGTAACTGTATTAAATCTACTATTTAATCAAATTCTTCTACAACAGAAAAACTCAAAGTAAACTTATCAAACATTTTATGCACCTTAAACTACATAGAAAAAAAAGGCCTGAATTTTGTCCGTTACATTAAAATCATGTAAAATTAGCCTGAAATTGATCAGTAATAACACAAATGTAGTGATTTAGCAGAACTATAATTTCCCCAATTTATAAAAGAGTAGATCATTGTTTGAAAAAAAATAAGAAATATGTATTATGGATCTGTATTGTGTTATAATTCTTATTAACATTTGGCATATAAAATATATGTATGATGAACATTAAGCTGTTTTTAATTGACTAGTTATAAAAGTATTGTCAACACATAGTAATGCAGCTCAGCTGTATTTATATGCATTTATTATGTTAAAGCCAAACGATGGTAAAAACTTGTATCTACCCACTGTTTACAGTCGGAATCAGTGCAATGTGTGACATTATTATTACTATTACTATTACTATTATTATTGTTATTATTATTATTAATGGCTTTATTCAATATTATATTTTGGTACAATATAGAGTTCTCAGCACAGGTTATTTCAACAAGTTTCTTTTACAAACAAAATGAAACAACAAAAAAGAAGAGAAAAAGTCGAAAAAATCTGAAACTGTACAATTTTCCAAATAAGAGACATGTTAAGAATGCAGGTTATTGACCAGGTTAACTCTAACAACCTGTTCGTCACAGAGTATATTTGCTAGATAAGGTGTTATATAACTTTTATACTTTTGCTTAAGTGCATGGATTTTAATGTATTGACGTCTCGTTCTACCAGAAAATAAATAAAGAGAAAGATATGAGTGAAGGGGATGGTTAGTATCTGATAAGATAACACCTGTCAGGAGTTTGCATGACTTTAGATGTCTATCCACAACCATATTAATTATGACCTTGAAAGATTCACCACACATCTTGCTAACTGCCTTCAGCACTCTCCGCAATACAACAAAGTCTTTTCTCAAAAGCCCAGGAAAGAATAATGGAGAACAGTAAAGAATAATAGGTAATATGCAGGAATTGACAAATTGTAAGAGTAAATGACGAGTAATCCCAAGAGCATGCAGTCTTTTTATGTAGTAAGTCACACGAAAAACCTTCTTCGATAACAATAAAACGTGGGAAGACCAAGACAGATCAGAGGAAAAGGTAACACCAAGATAATTGACCTTCGACACTGTATTTATCAAAGAGTCTCCAATGGCACAAGCATTATGGGATCTCAAAATGGTGTTTAGATTCCGTTCATGTCTCATGCTAAAGTTAACAGCTTGACATTTAGACGGACCATTACCAACAGACCAACAATCAATACGAGACAAAAACTCATTCATTTCTATGGGATGTAAAGAGGAAGAGATAGGCATACATACAGTGAGATCATCCGCATATTTCACAGTGTTTTCTGTGGAAGATGGCAGATCATGCAGAAAAAAAGAGAAAAGAGGAGGTGAAAGAACAGCTCCTTGTGGTACACCTTCATGAGACAGTAGAGACTCTGAACACTTTCCTCAAAATACAGTGTACTGTTCCCTTCCAGAGAGGTAGGAACATAGCCAGTTGGTTATCCAGCTGTCAGTGTTGACGCTGATTAACTTGTTAATTAAACGTTGTCTTGGTATAGAATCAAAAGCTGAAGTATAGTCCAGAAAAGCGCATCGAACATACTTCTTACCCTTTTCTAAGTTGAACACTATATTGTGATGCAGAACAGCAACAGCATCTAAGGTGCTTCTTTTCATCTGTAAGCAAACTGATGGGATCAATATGCTCTTTTATCGCAGGCTGAAGTGGAAGTATTAATAATTTTTCCATTGTTTTGAGGAAGGGTGAAGTTGCTGCAATAGGTCTAAATTTCACATTCTTATCACCAGATGCTTTCTTGGGTACAGGAATTATCTTCATCTTTCTCCACATTTTCGGTATGAGATTAGATGAGAAGGATCTGTTAAAGATAGTGTGAACGGATAACATAGGACGTCAGCACACTTTTTAAAAAGGAGGTTTGGGATACCATCAGGTCCCAAACATCGAGATGAATTAAGCGACTGGAGACATCTTCGTACATCAGTCTCAGTGAAAGTAGGAACACAGCTATTATTTAAACCTGTGGATAAGGGAGCATCATATCAGATGACTGACGTACAAAAGACTTATTTAAGTCACAAACATTCAGCTGGTTATCGCTCCTAATCTGTCTGTCACCTGTAAGTTCTTTAAAGAGTTTCCACATACTTGGAGAGTTTTTGCAAGACAAGAGTTTTTGAGTAAACATGAGTTGAGACGTCTAATCTCTAGGTTTATCAGACCATTTAGCTTACGAACTTCATTAGAGTTTTCTCCTTGTACATTTTTTCTTTCACCTCCGTAGTCGTTTTAGTTGTGAAGATGTAAGTCGATCAAAACTTACAAAAATGGTTTCAGTGGGACAACAAATATCAAAACAGAATTTAAGGTAACAAGTGATAACATCAGTAGTGATTTCCAGTGAGTCATCTGTAAATAATTCCCAGTTAGTCGTATGAAACATGTTTTTCAGATTTCGGATATTTTCTTCTGAGTAATTTCTTTATTTGACTTTCTTGGTTTGATGTAAGAGTGTACTCTTCCCATGCTTTCCATATACTTTAGGTAGAACACGAATTATACAGTGATCCGAGCTAGACAATGGGGTACGTTTACGAGTCACATATATACCCACATCATTAATGAAAACGAAGTCTAAATGAGCATCCAAACGAGTAGGAAAATCTACTACATTTTGGTGACCTAGTGACGTAAGGAAGCTACAGTCACATGAATTGAAATCACCACATACAACTGAAAGTGAATCACTGAAGGCAGTAACAGCGAACTCAGTGAATTCATCAGCGAAAACAGATAGCGCAGATGATGTGCAGTCTGGAGTCACGT